CTCGTAGGAGTTAGAACAGCGCCAGGCTCAATATTTATGAGCTATTGTTACTTTGTACCCAATGGGATAAATATATTATTTCCATTTTACACATGAAAAACAGAGGCATAGAGATATTATAACCTGCTCAAATTCTCACAGCTAGTAAATTACAGACCCATTCTCTTATAATTCAGAGTTTCTGAATAGCTCTATACTTATATTGCTTTTTCTTTTTTTGTAAACATGAAGCTAAGAAATGTTACTCTATAAATTTAAAGGTAAGGTTAACTACTGAAAAAACTCAAGAATGCTTTGAATATTCACAATGTCAGGGATACTGTGATAATCATTAATATTACCATTTCCCACATTACCAACACTTTTATGCCGTGAAGGGACTCAGCTAGTAGAGCAGATTTGCTCTTTCAATGTTCATGCTGTCACCTTAAGCCAGCTGAGGCAAAGAACACTCCCAACAAGGAAGCTGGTAGGGGTTAAAAGTTATCCCTGCCTCATCTATGCTTGTTACTGCCTGTTGCAAGAACACTTACTTGGTCAAGGAATCCTGAAAGCTTTACTATTTCTTACCTGCCGTGTGCTCTGGAGAATGTGACACCAGAACATGATTCATGGAATATGCAGTCGGTAGAGGAAGTATCTTAGGGAAGTAAAACAGGAGATTTGTTGGGGAGCACTAGTAGACATTTATCTACCAAAATCAAATAAATGACAATTTTACATTCTATATTTATTTTTTTGTGCCACTTGATATCTACTTCCCTTTAAACACAAGTGACTTTAATTTCTTTATCAGACATAGCCCTTGATGTCACCATTTGTTCACCTTACAACTTCATTTTGAACATAGGTGCTCCACCAGATAGATTCTGAGGGAGGAAAGCAGCCACCTCCTTCTCCCCTATTCTTACCAGTGACTTCACCATATTCTTTCCTCAAGATCTCTCCTGGCATCAATAATAAGATTTGAGGAAAACCATAAATATCTTATAAAGTCATTCAACAATTAATCACTTAGGTCCTACTATGTTGCAAGCATTTTGCTAGTCACAAGGTGCCATAGTGAGCCAATTATCTGAAGTCCTCCTTCTCAGGGAGCCTGCAGACCACTGAAAAATAACAACTTGTACAGACTGAGGGCTTATTCTAGTCAGGCACTATGGTTTATATGTATTATCATATTTTAGTCTCAAAGATGTAGCTATTATTACTATCCTCACTTTACAGATGAGGAAACTGAGGATTGTCTAAAGTCACACAATTAGGAATGGGCAGAGTTGGGCTGTGAATTCCACACACTTAACCACACATACATCATCTTTCACACACACACACACACACACACACACACACACACACAAACTCTCATAAGGCAGGACCTCAGAGCTGATGTATTTGTGGCTGAAAGATATCAGTTTTTCTACAACTTGGTTGCAGTTTCTACTGAATACTTTGATTTGCATATATAAAGGGTTCTCTAAAGCACAACCTTAACCAAATTGTTGGAGACAGCTGGGTGAGGACAGCTGCAGACAGAAAAATGTGGCCGGATGCTCTGGGGTTGGTTGAGACAAATGTGCAATGAGATGGCTCCAAGAAGAGGAAGCAGTAACAGGCCAAGGTAAGAGTGAGTGACAGATAAATCACCTAGCCCAAAAACCATGGTGGAAAGAGGCCTTAAATATTCTCAGAGACACTTTTTTTTTTTTTATCAGATTATGCAAATGCAACTGGGATATATTTTTCTTTGCCTGTATCATAATTCAAGTGATTATTCAAATAAATTTTTAAAAATCTTGCCTAAAGTATGTCTGACATAATGAGGTAGAATTATGAATCAGAAGACCTAAATTCTTATTCAGATATGCATCAACTGGTTCAGTTGTGTGATCTTTTGCAAGTCCCTTAACTTCTCTCATTCTAGATTTTCTCCTTTCTAAAACAAAGGAGTTGGTATATATGACTTATTGTTAAAGTGTACAGCTGAAACATTATATTTCATTAACCAATGCCACCATAAAAAATAAATTTTAAAAAATTATTTCTTAAAAAACAAAAAATTAAACAAACAAACAAACAAATAAATAAAAGGGTTGGGCTATAGACCCTTAAGGATTTTTGAAGTTTCAAACTGCTCTGATGCTATGATTTATTGAGAACCTACATTGTGTCTAGTACTGCATTAAACAATTTTGAGGTTTAGAAGCAGTTAAGAGGTACGTTTCTAGCTCTTTGGACCTGTGCTGTCCAATACAGTAGCCACCAATGTGGCTATGGAGCAACTGATATGTGCCTAGCATGAATGAATTATCACTTTATTTCATTTAAATAAAATTTAAATTAAGAAATTGATACTGTATTTAGTTATTGAAAACTTTTATGTCTGAAACAATGTAGGGATATGAATCTTTTTCCCCCAATTATAAATTTTGTATAATCTAAATACAGATCAATTGTTTTTGATGAAAATTTACCATCTGAATTGAGATGTGCTGTAAATGTAAAATACATCTTATTTAAGACAATATAAAAAAATGACTGTAAAGTATATCATTAATAATTTTCATATTTATTCCATATTGAAATGACAATATTTTGGACACACTGGGTTAAATAATCAAAATGAATTTAATGTGCATTTACTTTTTAAATGTGACTATGTATTAGAACATTTAAAATGACATATGGGGCCTGCATGACATTTCTTTTAGGCGGTGTTTGGAAGTTTATACTCTATAAACCATGGTGGGTGGTTTGATTGATTGGTAATTTAGATCCCAGTCAATCATGGGTACTTTTGAGAAAAGAATTGTGTTACCCTTTGAAGAAGACACCTATACCAGCCTGAGTTATGTCTCTCATCAGGAAAGACTTCCCCTAATTACCTTTGCTAACAGGGTTTGTTTTAAGAGAGCCAGGGGATAGAAGATCTCCTAGAATCAATGTGGTCTCCAGTGCTTCCTAAATTGGAATGTGCTATAGGCACCATGGATAAATGCACTGTGCTTATGCATCTGAGTACATCTAGCACTACCTCCAGAGAAGGGATCTATTTGGACTAGTCTGTCTCCATTCAACATGACTACCTCTGTTGGGTGGAGGTTTAAGCCAAACTCCTTCAGAGGCTGTTGGCTCCTCTTGTGTCTGGCCACCTTTAACCTAGCCACAATTTATTCACTTGGAGACAGGTTGTGCTTGTTCTGCACTTTCCACATAGATTGAATTGTAGGATCTTGACACAAAAAATGACTGGTAAGGCTTTCTTCTGAAGGAGCATATGTCAATGGCAGGAGTTTTAAATTTAGGGCCTTCTTCTCTATATAAAATTCCACCCACCTTGTCTGTATCTGTAGGGAGTAAATGTAAAGGTGATGGTCACCTTCTCTGGTCAGTACTTGGTCAGCATGTGACCTGGTGTGATTGCGGAGGGCACTTTTCCTGGAAGAAACGTGATGAATATCGTGGCATGATCAGATATGGTGATTCACTTGGAGTGATCAGAGAGAACCACTATATTAGTTTGCTAGGGCTGCCATAACAAATATCACAGACTGGAAGCCTTTAACAACAGAAATGTATTTTCTTATGGTTCTGGAGGCCAGAGGTCCGAGAGCAAGGTGTTAGCAGATTTAGTTTCTTCTGAGATTTCTCTCCTTGGTTTGCTGATAACCACCTTCTCACTGTCTTCACATGGTTGTCCCTCAGTCTATGTTATCTGTGTTGTAATCTCTTCATGTTGAAGAAGGGCCCACCAATATAATCTCATTTTACCTTAATTATCTCTTTAAAGGCCCTATCTCCAAATACAATCACATTCTGAAGTACTGGGTGTTAGACTTCAACATATGAATTTGCTGGGGACACATTCAGCCAATTACAACCACCATCCCTGGCCAGTATGTGGCATTCAAGGATCAACTTAATAAACTGTGTGGTCAGGGACAATAACCACAGAATGATCATTGGTCATATGCAAATTTCCTACTCAAGAGAATGAAAGCATGAACATGTACCTTTGATATCGTTATGGTTTTAGGTAAATGAGGTAGAAGGAGAGACATGTTGAGTCCTGAATTTTATTGCAAGGCCACAGATGGTACAGTCTGCTCCTTAGCACCAGGACTTCCTTGTTTCTTGAACAGCAGTTCTTGACACCATGCAAGTGTAGTTAAATATCCTTGGGATAGTGTGCTAAATCTAGCTGGAAAATCTGACGTCAGGCACAACGGTTAATAATCTATTTAGGGGCATAAGAGAAACACATGGAATAAGCATAAGCCCTGCATCTAGGAATATAGGGCAAAGAGGTGATAAAGCTGGGAGTAGAATGTAGAAAACAGAAGATTTCTGATTTCTGGAGAGGAGAACTTCCTTAAGTTGGAAAGTGATGGAACAGGTGTTGGTGAGGAAGATGGTGGAAAGCTTGAGCCAAGGCAGAGGCAGGAAAATGCAAGACATGGAAAGACCACTGGGAGGCTGATTGGTTGGAGCCAAGGGCTTATGACTACAGGGGGGTTGGTTTAAAGCAGTGATGGAGAGAAAGGTCTGCATCTAGATGTGCAGTGACGTGGTACTGGGTAAGTGAAAGAGAAGAAGGATAATTGTGAGGAGATTGCTAAGAGCTGACGACTGATCCAAGTGTTGGAATTGGAAAGGTCCAGAGTTAAATACACACAAAACAAAAATCACCACAACTCAGTCCTGTAATCCTAGAGGTTACCGTTTTCAGTTCTGGTGATGAGACCTCTGGGATGCTATCCCTGTATACATAAACAGAAAAGATAGAAACAACCTCATTTGTGGACTCTTAGATAATGATAACTGAAAAGTCCATTTCAGTGTGTTTTGTTTCCATCTTAACTTTGGGCTTCTCTAGTCACTCCAATAGTTAGAAACAAGAAACTAAATAGACGGAAGCAATATTCTCCAAGTGACAAGGCCTAGAGAATAGACATATAAAACTGGGAAGAGTCAGTTAAGAACAAGCAGACTTCACTGAATGACTTTGTAGCATTTTATGCATTTATCATGGGAAAAATACAGTATGGAATAGAAAATGGATGGCTTAAAGGGAATTTGCTTGGCTTACTGGGATAGAACAAGGAAACCTCTTTAAATATTGAGTATGAAAGTCTTTTGAGAGCGATTCCCCTCCCAATATACCTTCCCAATAGTCTTCTACAATTATTTAAATATACTCTGCAACCAGTCTTAGATTATATAGAATAAAACAAAACTTCAATTGCATCTTGCACAGAACTTAAAACTTTTTCATTCCTTCAAGGGATAACAAACATCCTGAGCAGTTTGCTGTGGGCTTTCTCCTTTTTGCTTAGTACTCTTCTACGCAAAATCAGCAATTCATCCTATTCAGACTTTGCTTACATTGCCTTCCGCCATGTCTCAGAAGGTCTCAGTTTGCTGCAGCAGACTTTAACGGAGGGGCCCAGGCTCCATAAATCCCCAAGTGATGATGATGCTTGCCAAGTTGTAGCAAAATGGGCTTTCCACCTGCGGAGTGGGTTTAGGTCACAGAGAAGATGACCTGGAAGAGTCAGAAAACAGGTCTTTAATAAGAACAGAAGTTTGGGAATGAGTGGGAAGCAGCTAGGACTAACTTTGCTTCTTCTCTCTCCCTAGTCTGCAGATATTCGCACCTCGTGGACTGACTACTCCGAAGGCGGAGAGTGGTGTACCCAGTTAGAGTTACAACCAGATGCGCGGCCATAGCAGCTACCGCCTCACCCCTTCCTGGTGGCAATTACCCCAGGGCCCCACCTGCTCCGCAGCTCCGCCCAGCCTCCGGCCAGCCGGGTGCGGGCCGCACCCTCTCACCACCGGGCCCCGCCCCACAGCACGCACCGCCTGCCGGGCCCCGCCCGCCCGTCACGTGATAGCCCCGCCCTACACGCGCACTGGGATTGGCTCTCCTGACCAAGGAGGTGGGACCTAGCATACAGCCCTGCCCCGCAACGCGGCTGCAGTTTTCAAACCTCAACTGTAATCTCCAGTCACGGTCTCCGCTGCAGTCGCCGGGAACCACCTCACAAGAGGCTAGGTCACCACTGTTGGCCGTTGTCCGGAAGAGTAAAAGTGGGTCCTGCTACGCGTGGAGCCACCCGGCGCCTCACCCGGCTAGAGCTGGAGAACGCGTCCTGTCGTGGCCACCGGCGTGGGGCGGGTCGGGAGCCCCCTTGGAGGGGCCAACCCCAAGAGAACCTGCTGCGACCCGAGCGGTAAGTGTCTTCCTCCCCGCGCGTTCGCGGTCCTGCCGGGACTGGCGGGTAGGCTTGGGCTGCGACTCGGTACTCCTGAACCAGCCTCCCTTACCTTCAGTACAGAGACACCGAAGGTGGGAGGGGTCCCGAGGAGAGATCCAGGCGGTGTGGGCGGACCCAGGGTCTTCTCGGACCCCCAGCCTGGCGGAGATGAGCTCGGGCGCTGCCGCCCCTCAGGTGGGTCGTCTGCTCCGGGACCCTCGCTGCATTTCGGCTAGAGTCCTGCTTTCCTGGTTCCTTCGGGTTCCGCGCGGGGGGCGCCGCTGGTCCTCGCGACACCCTTTCCGGGCGGGGGAGCGCTTCTCTGCGTGTGCGCGTGTGCGCGCCGTCGCTGGCCGGCCCGGGCTCTCCCCAGGTCGCGCGTACCGCGGGGACCCCCTTAGCGATCGGCTCGCTAGGGTCCCTTCCACGTCACGTCGATGTGGTCCTTCATGTTCCTCCCCAGTTCACATCTGTGGTGCGGGCACAGGACGTGTTGATATCTGGGGCTCGTGGACACGTCCAGCTTACAGCTGCCTTTCGTCTAAAGTTTGTGCTCATCTTGGTGGGGCATTTTCAGTTGCTCCTTGTGAATAGTTTTTGAAGTCAGTGACTAGAAAAGACCAATTGCAGTTGTTTCAGTGATTTTAAGCGCTCTGATTTTATTTTGGTGCTATGTAGACTACTTAAGTGTTCATGACCTATCCTCGAACTGTACAACTACATGATGGCTACGATTTTGACTTTTACCCAGCTTTGTTTCGTTACAGGGAAAAGCGCTTCATTTGAATTACCTTAGAGGCATAAGTAGAGACAGGGTTGAAAGAGAGTTTATGGCAGCCAGTAACTGATATTAGGTATTTCTGTTTTATTTGTTTGTTTTGTGATAAGAGGAGAGGCACTTCGATATCACTTTGCAAATTGAAGTTAAGAAAAAAATACATTTAAAAAATCCAACCACATACTAATCAAATTTCAATATTAAGTCTGTGTATCACATTTACTGAATGCTTCGCTAACATAAATATGTTTATATTTGTGGGACCAATAGTATGCTGAACCTGCAGTGATGTTTGATATGATACAGCGCCTTTAAGTTTTCAAGTCTTTGAGAATACGGGCACTGAGACAGCTTGGTAGACAGAGATGACTGGACAAGTGACAACATATGTATAATCTGGAATTTTTAACCCAGAGCCGCAATTTTATTAAAGAAAAAGATGATAAATCTACTTTCTCATTAATACACCATTTTATGGTTTTATAAACTGGCCAGAAGTAGCTTTCAACAACTTTTAAAACGTTTGTCTTATAAATATTAAACTACATACCCACAGAGTTGTGCGTTTTTGAAAAATCAGGCCCATAGAAACTGCCTTAGTTT